TGTAGTCCCTGTTTTGCTGCTCCAGAATAAAGCAAATAAAGAACATCTGGAAATCCTTTTTCATACAGTACACAGTGAGGCTGGAAGATCAGAAGCTGCGGGCTATCACTGTGATTGTGGTTTGGGGTGTTTAGAAATTGTATCCACACTGCTTAATAAGAATGCTCGGAGTTGCATTATTTTTCAGTAGTAAGTAAGAGAAGGGACCAATAAAATTTGTTCTCTGAAGCACTGTTTACCTATGGCTGAAATACATTTCAAGAAGGCCCAGCTCTGAGTCCCTCTTTTTCTTCTTTTGAAATGGAGGGGAAAAAAAAAGACTGTTTAGAGCCAAACCTGATGATCCTCTGGGATAGAAGCTTAAACCTTGGCAGCAAAGAATAAGATAACCTTTTTCTTTTCATTATAATGTGAAGCAGAAACGCATTTCAAAATGTCAAAAAAGAAAAAAAAAGACACAAAATGAGTAGCTACTTGGTGCTAATTTAAGTGTGTTGTATTGGTTGCCTCTGAAAATACGTTATTGGATTAGGTAGATCATTGATATTATTGCTGATGGCAGGTTATGTATTCCTGTGAAAAATCTTCTATTGTTCCTTAGGAATTATTTTCAATTATTAGAAGGGTAATAAGTAAATGAAGCATCGAGACTGAGATGCCTGACTTGCTTTGAAGGCAGACTGTCTTCCTTAATAAGCTTTTAACAGTGGAGTGGTTACATTGGGAAATGGGCCAAGAACAAAGGGAAGAGAATGTAATGTTCTTAGTCATAGGGCTGGTGGTTGGTAGTGCCTGGGACTGGCAGATCCCAGGAACACAGCTGCTACATCCCATTAATTAAAGTGCTGTTAGGTGACTTTTGTGAACTGTTTTATTTTTATTCCGATCCATAATTCTGCAAGAACTTGTAGCTTTTTTTCAGTCTGATGTCTTCCCTGCTATTTTCTGTTCCTTAATGGAGTGCAATTTTCAAATGTTGTGTTGCAGAAAAGTGTCACTGATGAGACCTTATCATTTCATCTGATTAAACTCTGTTGGAAGATTTGTCCAGTGTAATTTGCATAGTAACAATGCTTTCTAGGAGACTTAGTGCTCTCTCTCTCTTTCTGTCATTTGTAAGGATTAGTATTAAATTCCCTAGTTGTATTTAGTAATATTTGTGATTCTTTGGTGTGTTGTGATTAAAAATTGATCATAATTAGTGCCTAATCTGCAGCTTTGATTTGGGTTCTTACTGTAATCGCATTTTAAACATGCACTGGCCCTTTTCGGAGGGTCCTTAAAAAGTTGAAAAAGTTGTTTTTCCATGACATATCTGGATTTTAAAGTTGAAAACACGTTGTGAAAAGCTGCTGAAATAACACTTTGTCTAATTAGTTCTTCTTTTCCTTGGCCTTATCTGCCCACAAAGGAGAGCATACGTCCCAATTCAGTCATGTAATTGGCTGAAAGCCAGAAACATCTCAGGCTGAACCTTGAGCTTGTGCATTTCATCTGCTTCAGGATGGCCTTTGTTTTTTTTGTTCCTATTTGGGGAATAGAATTTAAAAAGAAGGCGTTGCTGGGAGAAGTGATGCATGTGTTGCCTAGATTGAGACAGTGGAGGCCAAGTGGAGGCTCACAACTCATATATCCTCCTGTGCCTTGATTCCTGCCTTTGGGAAGTGGAGCTAACATCTTGTTTTGCAAGCGTAAGTGAAATCTCATGACTCTCTCAAAGAGATTATATGGTATGTACATATTCATATAGAATCATAGAATGGCCTGGGCTGAAAAGGACTAAAATGATCATCTAGTTTCAAACCCCTGCTACATGCAGGGTCTCTAACCACTGGACCAAGTTGCCCAGAGCGACATCCAGGCTGGCCTTGGATGCCTCCAGGGATGGGGCATCTACAACCTCCTTGGGCAACCTGTTCCAGTGTGTCAACACCCTCTGTGTGGAAAAACTTTCTCTTAATATCTAGCCTAAACTTCCCATCTCAATTTAAAACCATTCACCCCTGTAAATAGATAGATAAAAAAATTATATAAAAATATATTAAAAGTATACATTATGTAATTATGTATTATATATAATATATATCATTATGTATACTATTGTATTTATATTTTTATGTATTTTAATATTTGTAGTGCATAATATAGGTAATATATTAACAGCCATTCCCCTTTTACATATCTCTATAGAGAGAGAGAGAGAGAGAGACATCTGTCTGTGAGCAATGGTGACAGTGATTTTTGTGGTTAAGCCTTTTTAATGCTGCAGTTCTAAGCAGTTCTGGCGCTCTGTGTCTTTGAGTGAGAGTGAAGTCGGAAATCAAGGTACTGGGCAATCTCAATAGGTTTATCACAGTTAAATATTAAACTAATCTTGTATTAAAGACCATTTTGCAAATAATGTTCTTACTTTATTTGACTTCTATCACTAAAGGAGCCTGTCCCATCTCTACAGAGAAGAAAAATCTTAACACTTCAGTGCAGGAGCAGCCCAGAAAACTGAATGTTTAAGTCTAAAAGAGGAATTTTGCTTACAGTGTGTAAAATGGCTGAGGATAAAATTCTAAAAAAGCAGATCCCCCTGGTACCTCAGAACCTGATACTTGATGAGTATTTTAGTGTTCTTGCCAGCTGTGAAGGCCTGTGCAAGCGGGCTGTTCTTTACTGATAGAGTGTACGATGGAGAAGGGCAGCTGTTGGGCCAAGCAGCTTTCTCATATCAGCGTAACCTTGACTGCCCTTTGCCTGGCACTGTCCCTTCTTCCGTCTTTGATTTCTCATAAGCCAGTGGCTATTAACTGGAATATTGTATCTGAAGACTGAGAATGAGGAAGTTTTCATGCTCTGCTGCAGATTACTTATTTATATCTTTATTTCCTGGAGGATTCCCAAGCTGGCCTTTCATCTCTGAGTTCACAGTTATAGGCTTGCTGCTTCCCTGAGACCTTTGTGTAGATGCACTGGGTTGGTCAACCTTTTCTGTAGCGTGGACAAAAAGAAACTAGAGGTCTTTTTCCTTTTTTTATATAGTCTTGTGCTTACTGTGTAAATTTCTTAGTCTCTTCGTTTTGCTGCTGCATTTTTTAAAAACTTCCTTTGAAAAGTAGGGAAAACATATTTTTCTAGCTTTACGTGAGCGTTAAAAGGAAATTTTTATCAGTGCAAATGGGCCATGATGTAACAGTATATTTTGACAACAGGAATTGCACTCACCTCCACTTGTTCTGTAAGCCCCAAGAGCTGCATGCACTGAATACATACCCAAATCTCAGGCACTCCATTTAGCAGTTTAAATATTTTTGAAAAAAAAAATTTGTGCCATTTTATAGGGGGAAGGTGGTTTTACATGAGCCTTGATTTAAAAAATGCTGTGATGAATACTTCAGGCACAAGTTTTTTCATTTTCATTTGTAAAAAACACTTCTTTAAAAGCTAAGATGATCAGAGGCTGGAGCACCTCTCCTATGAGGAAAGGTTGATGGAACTGGGCTTGTTTAGCTTGAAGAAGGCTCTGGGGAGACCTCATTATGGCTTCCAGTACTTGAAGGGAGCATATGAACAGGAGGGGGAACAAATGTTTGAGTTTGATGTTGAGTGGATAGTGGTAAGACAAGGGGGAATGGTTTTAAACTGAGACAAGGGAGGTTTAGCTTAGATATCAGGAGGAAGTTTTTCACACAGAGGTGGTGACGCACTGAACAGGTTGCCCAAGGAGGCTGTGGATGCCCCATCCCTGGAGGCATTCAAGGCCAGGCTGGATGTGGCTCTGGGCAGCCTGGGCTGCTGGTTGGCGACCCTGCACATAGCAGGGGGGTTGAAACTTACATAATCATTGTGGTCCTTTTCAACCCAGGTCATTCTATGATTCTTTCCAGGTATCTATTTTATTTATTCAGAACTTCTTCTGACCTTTTAATGTGTAGGAAGCTTACAATTGTGTGCTGCAGGTATTAGCAGACAGTATACAATTCAGGTCTCGAGTGTGCTAGGTCTTAGATATCAGCTTTATTTTATTTTCATTTACTGAATTTATGCAATGTTATTAAAAAAAAAAAAAAAAAAAAACCACCTTTCAGCTTAGAGACTAGTTAATAAAAGGATTCAATGATTAAGAGTCAAATTTTGCTGTTGTAATTCATTACAGAATACTCTGCTCTGAATCAATGTCCAGAAATTTGTAGTTGCTTACAGTTTGTACTAGAGGGCAGACAGTTTTGTTATGTAAAAACAGGAATGCTCTACAATTCTCAAATAACAGAGTACTATGCTTAGCTGCCACGATCTTTCAAATGGCATGATTAGTGTAAGTGCAGGCAATCTGAAACGCGCATTCAGTGGAAAATCAGTGGTTCTTGTTCTCCTATATTAATATTTTATTACATTAATTTTGTTCCTTTTCAGTGTTATTGAGTCTTTGAGCATACATTCATAGCATAAAATAGTATGATCAGCAGTAACATATTTGTGAGTTAGAACCTCAGAAGCAGTGGGCTGTTTTTCACTGTGCTTTTCGCATAGTGACATGAACTTCTGTGCTGATGTTTATTATTGTTCTGCGTTGTTTCTAGTTCAAACTTGGATCCAGCTCTGGTGAACACTGTGTAAGACTGCAAAATAGGTAGCCTATGCCCTGAATTGATTACTGCTTAAACTACAAATATTGGTATTGGAACTTCAGTATGGATGTAAATCTTGATTTTGAAGTTACTGGGTATCTCAGAAAAAAAAAGACTTTACCAGCAACCTATTTGGCTAGAGCCTAATTAATCATTTTTCAGCAGTTGAATAGAATTTAGTTGTTCAAAATCATTACTGCATCATTTTAGATAGAGAATAAAAATATTATAATTTCATAAATATAGAGTATTTAGATAGGGAGCTTTGCCCCCTGCTTCTTTTCATAGCTTTGCATAGACACTGGCTTAACTGTTATGGCAGCATAAATACTTTGGAATTCTAATTTCTTTTGTTTGAGTACTGTACTTTGTGTGTTTTTTCAGGACTAGCTGGAAAGATTATAAAAGCCATCATCAATGAAGGATTTCAGATCTCGGCTTTGCAGATGGTAGGTTTTCTTTTGTCTTTATCTTTTTTATAAACAGAGGCTGGAACTGTCCTATATGCACTTGACAGCAATTCAGAGATGTCTTCCTGAAATACAAAACCCTCGTACCAGCTGTGTAGTTATGTTTTAGGATCAGTACAGCCTTTGTTATATTTGTATTTTATTGTTTGGTTGATCAGCTGATCTGTTTCCCCTTGCTGTTCAACCATGACTGGAGAGACTTCATCTCTGTGTTTCAGTTTCACGTGGCTAGAAGGGGCATGGTGATGCTGATGTTTTCTGGAAACTTAAGATATCTTTTGAAAACTGAACTAGTTAGGATTAGGGAAAAGATTGTTAACATCCTACAAGTCTTTAAACTTACAGTTAGTGTGAACTTATAGGAGAGTTTTTGAAGACACTTCAAAGATTGACATCCTCATCACCAGCAGAATTTAAAGGGAATTGCACAGAGATTGTTCTGGAGAGTAGCCCTGTAAGAACTGCCTTTTGTGTTTTCTGAAAGTCTTCAGATCTGAAATCTCCTTGTGATTCAAATACTCCAGAAATGAAGACTAGTTTCTTCTCTTTCCTTTGCAACAAACAGATCCTCTTGTAGATCTTAGTGGCATTAGCCAACACTACAAATGAAGTACATTGTCTACTGATGTTTAAGGTAGAAGAAGGTACTTTATGCTCTTTTGTGTGTGGGACCATTGGCTAAAAGGATGATAAACATATTACAGTTGTAAAGCCATTTCTTTTACTGGGTGGAACTTAGAATAGCATTCTGATTTCTTGCTGATTATGAAGGGCTATCTATTTTTTTCCATCTAATGTGAATGACTAACACTTTTTATTTTCGTAGTTCAACATGGAGCGTGCAAATGTGGAGGAATTTTATGAGATTTACAAAGGTGTTGTTGCTGAATATATGGTAAGCATAAATTTGAAAAGTCTCTATTTATAAATAAAACATGATTAAACAAGGAAGTGGTCACATCTGCCCATCTTGAAACTGTGATAATACTTCCTCTAGGAACTAGTTTTTGTCCAATTCTAACTTGTTCTGAAATAAAATGTATGTCATATCCAAAATTGTGCTGCCTATCTTGCAAGAAAGGAGTATCCTTTGTGGGAATTATTGAGCTAAGTAATTAGTAAAATACAACAGAGAGAAAGAAGCCCTCAGGTAAATTATTTTATTGTGGTAGAACTATGTATCACACACACACGTTTTATGTATATATACATATTTATATATAGCGTATACATCTTTGGTCAGTTTGATATTGCTTGTTGTACCAGAATAAGTATGTATTGTTTTGTTTACAGTGGGGCTGCTATACTGGAATGTTTCCTAGTGATGTTCTGAGCTGTTCTTCAGTTTATTGATCTGGCTTCTGTGGACCTTCAGAAAACTTAAGAAATTTAAGATATAATGTAATCCTAGGGGCATCTAAGATCACATGATATTACTATGGTTTGTTGTATTGCAATATAAAGCCTCCTAATGGCAGATAGAACAACAGGAATCAGGAAGACAAGTTGGTGTTTCCCTATAACCTTTATTCATTTTACAATTAGTAATGATTTTCTTTTCACTGCCATGATATGTACCATGCAAATTATCCTTAATTTATAAATGGTTAAATTATTAAAAGATTTCTACTCAGTTACTTCTATTATTCCAGACAATTACCAATAGTACTCTGACAATGTGACTTTTTCTTTCCTTTATGATTGTTTAGTCAACTTCAACAGGGTTTATAGATTCCTCTTCATATAGTTTAGGGACACTGTTTGTTTGCTGTCAGATTGACGAATACTTACAAAATTTCCTCTACTAACATCCTTTGTGCCAGGAACTCATATAAGACTGGACAGACAGACTTGAAGGTGAGTTACAGAACTCAAATGTGGTAGTGCCTGACTGGTATTTTAAGACCCAGAGAATCCTCTGGTATTATAAAAATACAAATTGAACGAAATTTGATATCTATCTATCATTTTCTGCTGTTTGGTATATGCTCTGACCCTCAGATAAGTGGTAAAGTTACATACTTTGTCTGAAAAGTTACTCAGAAGGGAACGTGACATTTAAGCTGGATAAGTAAATAAGGAAATCTGTTTCAGATGGGATTTCAAGTGAGAACCTGGGGCTCCGTCCTGAAAGCCATATGTGCTTGACACACTTAGTTGAAATTAAGGGGATATCTTCACGCACTCGGCTTATTTGTGAAACAGGATAATGTGGGAAAGCTGATCGTGATGGTAAAGACCTCCAGAAAAGACACATATGGAAACAGCAGTAGGTATTGTCAGTGCAGGCCAAATAGGAAGAAGTACATTTTGAAATAAGGAACTAAAGAAAGAATATGACCTCTTACATCTGTAACTCAGAGCTGTCTGTTTTGATCTGAATTTTATTTATCATTTTAAAATAAGTCGGTGCAGAAGAGGAAGATACTCATCACCCAGAAGTCTTCTTCAGAAAACGTATTCTCATTTCTTCTGGTTACACTTTTACAGTCAGATGAAGGCTTGATGTATTGTACATAAAACATATATCTGTTAGAAAAAAATGCTGAACAGTTGCTAAGTTGAAAAAAAAAAACCACGTTTGTTGGTATCTCTTCTAATCAATAGATCCTACATAGGATTTTGCTTACTGATAAAAAGGAGGAAGATTCTGTGCTAGCTCCAAATTCACCTTATTAATAAAAAATGCTTGAATTTCATCCAGTTTCAAGAATGGTCTTGGTTGACCACTAGCCACATTATCTGATGAATAAATCATTTGCTAAAGAAAAATTAATTTAGCTGTAATTACAAGTCCTACCAAAGAGGAAAAGGTGATGAGGCCTTTTTTGGGAGGGAAATATGTATTATTTTGTTGTAAAGCATGAAACTAGCCTGCACTCTACTCACGTGCCCTCAAGAATATTTCTACCTACATTTGCTAGGAGCAGGTTAATGATGGAGGCACTTGGCTAAAATTCTGTCTATTCATGTCACAGTGCTAAGAAGAAGCATGTGCTCTTAACATGGTATTTATTATAAAGATAGCAACTCTTCGGAACAGTGTTGCTTGACTTGGATTCTTTTGAGTATTTCATTTCTGTCATACTTCATAAAATGCAGAAGTGGACTCTATTGTTTTCCTAGTGCTTTTTGCCTGCTCTTGATGCTCTTGTTCTCTGCTTCTCTTCTTGTTCTCTGCTCATCCTTGACCTGTGCAGAGCTGGTGAGCTTGGTTGCAGCACCTTGTGCATTATTCCCTATTCTCTCTGACTTCTTGTGAATGTTTTCTTCTTTTCTCTTTCCTCAGTGACTTTAGTTCTTTCAGTTGCCCTTATTTCTTCAGAACTTGCCTGCCCAAATTTCTGGACAAGAACGAAATTAATAAAGGCATGTTTTTTTGTTTTTGTTTTTAAATCAATTTAGACTAAGGTAGCATATTTCTGCTTCTGAAATCTATGCCTCTAATTGACAAACTCTAAATTGGCACTAATGTCTGGAGATAGCCTAAGCTTACAAAAACTAAAAACCTGTATTTATCATCTACTGAGGACTCGAGGATATCTCTTTACACTTCAGGAAGCTCCAGCAAAAAGGTTTATTTCAGTGTAACCAAGATTCTGGTAAGAGCATACACAAGAAATACTGCTAGATCAAGGATCTTTTTCCTGAAATGATGTGCCATGCACTCCTTTCAATTTAAATTCCTGGTTCTATTGTCCTGTGTGTTTCAGCTTCCATAATATACAAAGAAATGACAGAACCAAAAGCCCAAGAGATGTTTTCTTGACTTTAAGCCATCAAATATAGGCTGTGTCCTGTGCTTCCTATAGGGAATGTTGTTAAACATGATGTCTGTGGAACTTGCTCAACATGGTGTCATTTTTCAGACTTATGCCTTGCAAAGTGTAGTATTGATTCAGTTTAGACTGACAAGTTAGGAGGCAGTTCTGTGAAATACAAGTCAAGATTAGTAAGAATGCACCTGTAAAAGAATTTAAGGTATTGTGGATACTGTTGCATGTTGTTCAGTATCCCAGAGATAGAATGTTCAATTTATCTCCATCTCCACCATGTAAACTAAGTTACAAAATGTGCTATATATATATATGTATATGTATATATGTATATATATATGTATGTATGTATTTATGAATACTAATGATATCTTTGCTTCACACCTTTGCTTTCCTAAATCCACCAGTATTTCTTTTTTTCTTTCCCATCTGGTATGTTTGGATCAAGTTTTTTGGGGGAATGCAACCCTCCATAGTGCTGAAAGCTCAGGTTTGTTTTGGTCTTTTTTCTTTTCCAGGAGATGGTTACAGAGTTGTGCTCAGGCCCTTGCATAGCAATGGAGATTATACAGCCTGAACTTCCAAAAGTGTTCAGAGACTTTTGTGGTCCTTCTGATCCTGTAAGTACTTGCTTGAGTGATAAGGAATGCTAAAAAAAAAAAAAATATAATAATAATGCAGTGTCTATGAATTGAAATCTATGTGAACTGAAATATTACAGCGTGGTATGACTGCCATATACCTGCTGCATTTCCTCAAAACATGTGAGCGTCACATTATTATGGAAGTGAAATGCTAGACTTGGGATCAGTTTGCAAATTCTCTAGTGATTTCTTCAGTCTTACCTAAACCAGATGATAAAATACTATGATGATATTTATGTGAAAATAAAGTTATCCATAAATCACGGTTAGAGATGTGTAAGTATTCTAGCACAAGTCTTGAAAGCTGGAACAAACAGTTATTATTGTTGTATGCCCATGTAAATCAGTTGTTAGTTCACTGCAGTCTGTAGCATTGTTCTAAGACAAAAGTACAAAAGAAGAAACAGTTTCTGTGGCTTTTGTAAGGAAACAAAAAAATGCAAATCTTACTGTAGCTGTTTGTTATGCTAATAGTTCCAGCTTTTATTTTTTAATTTCTTGAGGTAAGTAATTGGATATGCATGATACTGTAAGCAGTCTGGAGATGAGCATAAAACAAGCATAAACGCTGTCTCAAAGGGTTTGCCATTTCTTGTTAAATAGCAAATGCTAACGTACCACACAGAAGCCACAGGGAGAAATATCAAGATGGAGGCAATGAAATTAGATATTACAATTATAAATAGATATTATAATTTCATGTTTTAGTTGCAGGCTGGGTGAGTTTAACAGTTTCCATGGGGGGGGGGAGATCATGAAGATTTTTACTGGTACTGTAATTTGTTTGGGATATATTTCTCTTCAGATCTGGGGAAGTATAAGCTAAAGGCATTGTCCAAACCTGTCTTCCCCTTCTGTTTGATCACACTGAATGTTACAAATGTTCCTCTGTTCAGTTAGCATCTTGTAAACAGAGTATAACCTGCAACTTTTGGACACCATCTTCACAGCAGTTGCACTAATGTATGTTTGGAAGATAGGCAGCTGTGTTTAGTATTTCTGTATGCTGTTTTCTATCAGAATTTCGAGCTAATTGACTCTTCAAGCATGTAAAGTGCATGTGCAGTGACTGTGCCTGTTTTCAAGAGTGATCTTTGCCTGAAATGTGTGTCTCTTCCGACTGTGTTACTGGCTTGTCCTTGAGGAAGAAGTGACTGAGTATTTCAGTGGCCTTCTGTCATTCATAACCTGTGTAGTCAGTGAAACTCCCCAATGAACTTACAGTGAAAATATCTGTCTCAAATAAAGGTATCAGAAGCCACATTGGAGTTGCATTATGAAACAAGGTTATCATAGAATCATAAAATCACTGAGGTTGAAAAAGACCGTGATGGAGGGACCTTTAAGATACGGTGCACTTGATGTTCTAGTGGTTAAAGTAAATGTAAGTGTCATGCAAATAATGTATTGTGGCTAGGAGATCTGGATCTATCTGTTTTTTTTTTCACCTGTTTATATATGCTAAGTCCTGGTGTGTGTACAACCTATTTAGAAATACAAGTGAAGAAAAGTTTGTAGCTATAGTACAGAATGTATCTGAGTCATTCTGGCTCCTGTTAAGTATTTTCCATTTAGTAGTATTGAGATCACAGTGATTACTTTCAAAGCAAAGTCCTGTTTAATGTTAGTAAAGGAACTGGAATTTGACTTACGTAATGAATTGCTCTCAGTCACGTGTGCTGTGAATTATGTCTCAGCTACGTAGCAAATGTAATAACCACTCTGTGGCAAGTCATGTGTTGCAATTGGATCTGATTGTCAGCAGCACTTTAAGTCTGTTCTTGGTTTTGCAGGGAGATGGCTGGGACACGCTTCTTTTATAAAAGGCATCCAAAGAGATGTGATCCATATTTTGCTAAATCAAAGCAAGATGTTGATTAGAAATAAATTCAGTTTTTGTCCAAGTCTCTCATTAAGGCTGAAAAAAGAATCAGAGTTGTTCCGTTTTGAGCACTAGACTTTAATAAGCTAGCAATTTATACAAAGTGTACAATGCTAAAAATGAAGTGGAACTTTGTGCTATTTTCTACAACTGGGTAATATTTTGTTAGCACCGCAGGTCAGTAAGGCTCTCTGCCAAAAATATCCTTCCTTATAATACAGCTTTTAAATTCTTTATTAAAACGTCTTGGGTGGTATTAGGGGAAGGCTGCTAACCAAAAACCTGTTCTGAGCTTCTTTGTAGGAGAATATGAATAACCTATGAAATCTGGAAAGTTGGGTAAAGATATTTGTCTGTAATGAGCTGTGCTAGCTGTTCTTACTCTCAAAATTACTGTCCCTGACTTGATTGAGCGGATTGGTGTCACAGTTCGTGGTCTTGGTGTGTTTGTGTGTGTGTCCCTGTTGGATAGTGAATGGACAATGAGAAATGTTTTTCTGCAGATCCCGCTGCTTCCTGCATTCTCATTTTACAGTGGTACATTGCTGATGAATGGCTGTCTGGGCTGTTGCACTCTTGGTGAACTGTCAGAATCTTTCATCATACATAGCTTAGCCTTCTGCAGCACAGCCAGATTTTTTCTGGTTATGGTGGCCTCAACTGAGGCCTCTCTGTACTCTCAGATCAGCTGTGGTGTTTGTCTTGTCTTCTGGTTGCAGGCCTGTAGTTTATTTTTGCAGCCAGACCTCAGACAGATCATGTAGCTTACTCTCAACATCCCTCTGCACCTTGATCTCTCTTTTCCTGGAAAGCTTCTTGGTAGTTGGTGTGGAGGGCACAGAAATGGAAGACTCTCCACATCTGCTATTATAAATAAGTATTCATGCTTTACATATTGTTGTAGCAACCCAATAAAAAGTTAACAGGCTGTTCTGATGCCTATCTTGAAAATACTGCTCTTTACAAAATTATCATGTGCTGTTCAAAAAAAAAAAAAGTCTCAGTTTCACACCAGTCTTAAACTTCTCAGGGAAGCCCCAGTCTCTCCTAAGACCCAAAAGTGAGGAGGTGTGAGATATCAAGATCCTATGAGCAGTGGAACACTTCTATTTAGATATTTGAATTCTGAGTAGGAATGGGATTTCTGAAATGACTGAGTTCCACAGATTTTCTATGGTTTCTGAATTGACTAAGCCCTTTTTCAAAATCATGCCACCTTATCAAATCTTGTTAAGTAGATTATCAAACTGTATATTTCATGCTGGGTGCTGTTATCTCACTCTCTTCACTGGTGTGGTTCTGAAGTTGAGAGAAAAAAAAAAAAATACACCTGTGGTAAAAAGGCAGCTGATCTAGAAAGCTGGTAGGAGGACTTGATAAGTCAATTAACTTGAACTTCAGTGCACACTCTCTTGGAAATAAGAGTTGCTAACTGTAACCAAAGTTAAATAGAAAAGAAGTTGTGTTTCTTCTTGAGAAATGGGAGTGCACCATGGGGTAAATGTAGCACAGCGTGCCTTATCCAAAAACACCAAAGATTATTCCATGCTGAGTTGAGGACAGGGAAGAAAATGTGGGTGGGACTGCTGCAAATAGTGAAGAGCCTTTAGGTGTTTGTTGTCTCACATGTAACTGGAAGCAAAGGTTAGCACTGAAAACCTCAGCTTCATAGCAAGGATAAATAGTCTAGGGGATCACAGAATCACAGAATTGTAGGGGTTGGAAGGGACCTCCAGAGATCATTGAGTCCAACCCCCTGCCAAAGCAGGTTCCCTACAGCAGGTCGCACAGGTCGGCATCCAGGCAGGTCTTGAACATCTCCAGTGAAGGAGACTCCACCACCTCCCTGGGCAGCCTGTTCCAGTGCTCCGTCACCTCACTGTAAAGAAGTTCTTGCGCACATTTGTGCAGAACTTCCTATGCTGCAGTTTCCGGCTGTTTCCCCTTGTCCTGTCTCCACTCACCACTGGAAACAGTCTGGCCTCACCATTCTGCCCCCCACACCTCAGATATTTATAGACCTGGATCAGGTCCCCTCTCAGTCTTCTTTTCTCAAGGCTGAACAGACCCAGTTCGCTCACCCTTTCTTCATAGGGGAGATGCTCCAGGCCCTTCACCATCTTTGTGGCCCTCCGCTGGACTCTTTCCAAGAGATCCCTGTCCTTTTTGTACTGGGGAGCCCAGAACTGGACGCAGTACTGCAGATGAGGCCTTACCAGGGCAGAGTAGAGGGGGAGGATCACCTCCCTCGACCTGCTGGCCACGCTCTTTTTAATGCACCCCAGTATGCCATTGGCCTTTTGGATTCTGTTACTGCTTGAGTTCAGTTGGATGTATGTTTCAACTGATGGGTGTTTGTGTGGTTTTTTGGCCTCTGAAGCATGTAAAAGCCTTTTGCTAATACTTAGATCTGAAGATACAGCTTTCATTTCACATCATCTTGTGTTGAATTAGCTGCTTGTAATGTTTTGTCATGGAATTGTTGAGGTGATTATTTTCTATTCATAAAACACTTGAAAAATACTGTAGAAATTGGATCTATTGTTTTTTTTTGTTCTTTTGAACTTCCTTCATGCACAAATGAAAAGGTTGGTTGTAACGTGATTGAAGGAATTTGTGTAAGCTACATGCTTCTGGCTGATTGTGTAATTTATAGTAATCTTAACTCCTTTTAGTTAGGAGTGGCAGTACACTGAAAGTTACTCAAGTACCTTATGCTGTGAAATATTTTTAACATGATGGGATGATGTGGTGCAGTATTTCTGCACCTGATGGGCTGGGTCTGTTGGGGGGTTTTCATATATTTGGTTTTGATCCTAACCTGCGTTCTTTCTACATAAGGGATTTGCAATTTTAATTGTAACAGCGTATTAATATTCTTTTGTAATTTTGCATCAGTGACAAAGAGCTGAAAGAGAGATTGGCTGGTTTAAAGCAAAGCAGTGAACTGGAAGAGTGGGAGTCTGCTTTAGCTCCATTCCTGACCTCACTGTGTGACCTTGGACAAAAGGTTCAATATGTTTCTGCCTCAGTTATCACATCAGTTAAATAGGGATAACAGTATGAGCCAAAGAGCATTATTGCTGTAAGATTT